TACGACTAGTATTGACCACCACTAGTATTATCACAGTCGCTCGCTCTGCTTGCCTGCCTCTGTCATCGTTATAAACTGGGCTGAAATTGGCTAATCAGATATGTGTACTGTGATCGCCTTATATGTGCAACCACCTAATACGATATATCAAAAAGAAATTTCTTCATGAACGCTGTTTTCTACATTATCTATGGGAATATTGTACGGATTAAGACCACTAACTGTTGCACATAAAAGCCATTTTATGTGGCTCACGCAATCAGCGAGAAAGGTTGTGGGGGCGATAGTCTACTTAACGTTCACGTCTGACGGAACTCTACACTGCTGGACGCGTCTCCAGGTCGCCTTTAGGAGAAAGGCCATCTGGATGGTCAAACATGAATGGGTGAATACTGCTGTACTGCTTACGCCGTCGCGAGCGATCGTTGGTAATGTCCGGGGATGGTACGTTTGTTGCCACAAAGATCTCGTAGAAAAGTTTATCATGCACAAATCTGGCCTGCCAGCAACCAGGTCTGTCGCCATCATCCTGTTGCTCTGCAGTTGGCACTCAGATACAAAAGGGCTAGAGGCGCACCCGACGAAGAATGAGACTGCGGATGCTAATTTGCTCAGTATTACAGAGATTCTCGATGGATTCCCTCATGAATCCGACTTATCATCACGTAGGAGGAAGTCGGTTAAAATGAAACCAGGAAAGCAACTTTAAAGCGCAGCTGCAGTTCGACGAGCATGTGACCACGAACCCTCTTTGTTTCACGGCTCTTTGCCTGCAATTGATCATAACGTATTCCAGCTTATTCGTTACTAGCTCCCGATGTGATTGTACTCTTTCGCAGATAGCTCTGCTCATTATGCCTGACTGTGAAGCGCTGGGGGATGCTGTAAATTGTCTTACTGTTTTCTAGAAGCTGATGTGCGAGATGCAACTTTTGTGTGGCGTGTCGGTCAAATACCGACGTTGGCCTTACATCTCTGCGTGTTGTCTGTCAGATTCAGGTTTGGATTCCCCGAGAAAAAAATTGTCAGTGTGGAATTTCTCAAAATGTAATTCGCCCTAATGTCTCAACCATCCTGTTGAATTTCGGTAAAATGCATTAGTGAACTTTGTTGTATATATAGTGATTAAAACGGCGGTATTAAATTGCTCCATTTCACTCTGTTTCGCCAGGCTAAAATTGTGATGTTTTGCCGAGATTATTTTATTTTAGCGGGCACATTGATAAACTGATCAAACTGGTGGTTCTCATTTTTCGTTGGTACAGCAACTTCGGCGCTCAACCAGACGCAAAGATGCGGTCCTTCGACTTCTGGTCCCCGGAGAAAATTACGACGCCGCAATTTAAGCTCACACGTGACTACTCGTCTTTCGCCGTGTCCAGAAGAGCGAACGGATCGCCTCGTTACCAGTTCTGTTAACAACTCACCACATTGCCATACAGCGAGACCGTATTCCCCACTGTCAGGGAGGCCCGACGATTCCGTATTTTTAAATGGTGGACACTCTCATCGTCCAATTATGCCTCCCGGACCGCCAACATCACCAGTCCCCAGCCCCCCACATTCGTCCACACTGACGGTGGATTTGGTTCCAGATTTCTCGGACGATGTGGTTTCTTACAATCCAACTGCAAACCCAAGCACGGAGAAACGTTTACCGAATTTGACTGCTGCGCTTTGCACACGGCTTCGTCGTCGTAGAAATGCGATTTGTGCTCATTCAACCTTAGGTCAGGGACTGAAGGATTTCTTCGCATCTTATGTGATGTCCCATTTAACAGACTCCATGACCTCTTCGCTCAATCTAGATTCGAACACTGAGGTTGGCACTTTGGATACTGCCAGCGGGTCTACAGGATGTTCGCATTTGACACTCCGATCTCGTTTGTCATGCAGTCCACCAACTCTTTCCCCGTTTTCCAATAATACTGAGACATCGATGGAATGATCCTCTGTGATAAATGCATATACATATATACACGCTAAATCCTAAAACATTTGAAATGACCTCCCACACAGACATAAATTAAGACTAGAATGTGCGTTTTTGCATTTGTTTTTCTCTCTTGTTTTCTCATGTGGGCGTCACTTGGCTTGCACCGTTCCAATTCGATCATCATTCTGAATGCATTTTTATGTGCTCTTTATTTTCCCTTTTTTCTTTCTTTTTGCTTGTATGTGTGTTCTCTCCCTGTGTCTCTCTGAGTTTACGTGCGTGCGTTTTGCGCCTTCGTTCATTCCGTGTACGATCCGATTTCGCTCCTATCTCTTCCGTCCTGTATTCCAGCACATCTGTTGTTGTTGCTGTGTACATTAGTACCGTAGCAGCAGCAGCGGTTCGCCTACATTTTACCCATTGGGTGACTTCTTATCAATTTATCGATTCAAACAAAAAGATCAAACGAATACTGATCATCTAGACACCACTTTTCCACTCATATTATCCACGGAGTTCTCCACGAGACCGACCTAATCAGTCTTTCGCGACCACAGTGCATTCGTAGTCTTTTCACCGATCCGGCCTAACCAACTCTCTTTATAAACTTATTCATTCTTTTTGCTATCCACACTACCCCCGACCTCACAATATGCTGACGAACCAACCTTTGCTCATGGAAATTGATCCATTTATTGGCATTGTTTTCTTCTTTATTTCTTGCATTCAATAATACAATGTGAGTTGTTATGTTTCCTATCTGCTTGCCCTCGCTCCAAATTGTCTCTCTCTCATCGTCCAACTATCCACCGTTTCCGCTTCGAGATCCGCAACGGACCCGATTTCACCGCCTTCTTGACCTCTCATGCTATTCGCCATTGTCATTGATATTATGATTGCTAGCCGTAGTGGTTGCAAAAATAAACAGAAGGGTGCACTTTTCCGAAACTGTCATTTTTCGAGCCTGCCATAGTTTCTCCTCCTCTCCATTCTCTGTTTTCTTTTCTGTGATGACTATCGGTCTGTTAGATTTCCATCGGAGCGCACAACCAATCCAAAACCACAAATCGTCCATCTCACGTTGCACCCAAAAGTGGAATTAGTTTCCGGTTGGATAATTTGATCAATGAACTTCACTCAGCATCATTTTCTCTTTTCTTCTGACTTGTCATCTTGTTGATCTAGTTGTGTGCCAGCTCGGTTTCTAAGTAAATGCAACCATCACATAAGCAGTCAGTTTTTTTCCAGTTTTTCTCATCAGACAATTTTCATCACATCGCACCATAAGTGAACTAATTATGTAAACGTATTTATCGATGTTGGATTTAGTTACTGCGGCGATCCGTACTGGTTCATATAGCAATTAACACTCCACCGGAGTGATCACGTCTGCATCGAAGTAGGGGATATTTGTTTTAACCAAAGCACCTTTGGTTTCTCGCCAGTATTCCCATTCCACCGATGATCTCGGGTGTCATTTGAGTTTTCTTGAGAGCGGTGGCGCACCCTACATTAACGATTACTATGTCAGTTTTGTCAAGGAAATGTCAACTTTTGTATTCGGCTGGATTGTAATAAATGATTCCCGAAATGGACTTTAGACCTCTGCTTTTCCATATTGGTGTAATTCGTGCGATACACTCGGGAATATGTGGCTTGATGAAGTCACGATTATAGGAAGGTGTGGTTCCCTATAGAAACGGAAATGAAGTGCACCGGATTAAATTCTTTAATGTTCCGAACTGTGCTTTGGGATACTGTCATTCCTGTTATAATTTGATCACGAGTTGAACCAAAAATGAATAATATAACGCGATAAGAGGTGAGCAATACAATTGTATATCTCTACAACTCCCTGATGACGATAATGTGGGGATTTAGGTCGCGGATCTGGTGGTTTTCCTGGCGTTTACAACTGGTCCAGTGCCGATGGATGCATATAGTTCGCTGCACTATTATCAAGTAAGGTGTCTAACAATGAAGTCACATGAGTTCCCATTTTCCAGCACATGCCACTCAATGTGAATGCCATAATGCGATGGTGGGATATGAACACAAGTCCTCCTGCGGGGGATCAGTTGGTGATCTCACCCGCCGCCCTACGTATTCGTCAAGCTTGATAACAGATGTAACATTTCACTCATCCACATCGTAAGTGCTTGGACTATCTTTTCCTAATCACTGGTAATAAAGGTAATTTTCGGACGATGTTGATTCGAACTATTTTGGTGAAATGAGCGTTCGTTTTAATCGGATACGACCAAATGTTCCATGTTCCTGACATTCCGTTTGGGCCAGCGTAGGGACCAGGATTCGGAGTGCATCAAGATTGTACGCAGTGTTGGAAGTTATCACTTTTTTGGCAGATTGGTTATTGATACGCCTTGGATATTAAATTTACTTTTGAGTTCATCGGTCTACAGTTTTCTCCTATAATCTACCAAAGTGGGAAAATATGAGTCGCATTTCTCTTTACCCGGTTTCAAACCATACCCGTTTCTAACCTATAGCCCGTGTTGCGTCTGAAGAGGATTTTCCTATCTCCATGTTGAACAGTTATGAAAATTAATTCCAAGAATTTTGTTCGTGAGGGTTATTACTGAATGTAAGGTTTGCTTTTGTTGGAAAGAAGAGGTGAGACATCATAATTTGTCCTAAGTCTGAACACTTGCAGAACCAGTGCGGATTCAGCCAAACAAACGCCAACCGCTAAGCTACTGTCTGTCATCTCTTGACGAGAAACTGATTCGCACCCGGCATCCAGATTATTCAACTCGCCTGGGGTTTCACGTATTCGAACCCCATTGCATTTGCTCTCTTTTCTCTCAGTTCATTTGAAATTGCTTCGATAGACACTTGGGGCGACCATACAGCGCACGAACGAGGACTAGGTGTTGGCG